CAATCATGGGCGAAGTACGGTACCTGGGGATCTAGGACCGGTGGTGTCCGTTGCTGCCGGTGGCCGTCATACGTGTGCGCTGCGAACAAACGGACAGCTCGTATGTTTTGGGTCTAACCGAGATGGTCAGTGTAATGTCCCAGACAACTTGGATGCTGTCGTGGCTCTTTCAGCAGGTTTTGATCACACCTGCTTATTGACATGTGCTGGCCAACTGGTATGCTTCGGAGACAACAGCGCAGGCCAGTGTGACGTGCCTGAAGGTTTGAAGTCCGTGGTGGCTGTTTCGGCAGGAGGGTCTCACACTTGTGCGCTCACGTCTGATGGGTTATTGGTTTGCTTTGGAGAGAATGACATGGGACAGTGCAGTGTTCCAGCAGATGTGGCCCAAAGTGGCCGCTCCTGTTTATGCACGACCCATGCATGTGAGTGCGCAGGACATGGGGTCAATGAACTCCAACTCTGAACAGTCACACCTGAGAGGCTTCGCCAAGCTGCTTGTACTTGCTTTGGTAGCGCCTGAGAACCCCAGCCTGTATTGGACATGCTGCGCAGGCTGCACAGGGGCGTGATGTGGCCTCCTTTCTAAGAAATACATGCACAGTACAGTACAGTACAGTACAGTACAGGGTGTAGTCATGCCTGTCCAGGCATCCCTCCCTGCAGCCGTGGCGGGTCAAGCAACAGCCACGCCAACCAAACTACGCATATGTGTTGCAGTCTTTATTGGGCCGTACTGTAGGAGCACGTATACGACATACCAGCCTGGATGCCACCTAAGCGCGAACTCACCTTGGACATGAAAGCCACGCAAACTTGGGCCTGAACAGATGGACCTTCTTACAGGTTTGCCCCAAGAAGTGCAAAACCGCTGTCACCCATGTGGATTTCTACGCATTCGTGCACATGTACCTATGTAGATGTCTGTATAGCCTCTTCATCAGGAGCATGGAATGAGCCATAAACCTTTCAGGTGCGCACTGGCAGCCCTTCAGCTTGCCCAGTATTCCGCAAAATAGGCATTATTTGTAGCCTTGGACCCATCGGAAGCTGCCTCACTTCGTTTTGAAAAGAGAGCGCTGCTGCATGGGCAGCCAGTGAGCCACCAGTTCTACCCATGAGTGAGGAGGAGGCCAGCGTGTTCAAGATTTATGTTGGGCTTCGGGCATATCGTGTATGCACCTGTTGCTCCAGGATGTCACAGTGGAAACTCGTGTTGCAGTAGGTTAGGGGTTCAAACTTTCAGATTTGAAGAGCCTAGCTTTGCAAAGCCAAGAGGAAACTTTCCCTCGGCTATATGTGTATGGAGTTTCTCAAGAAGTTTGTCCTGTTTCCGTTTGCTGATCTCTACTGAGCTTTCAGGAAGTCCCATCTGCACCCTGGAGTTACCTCTAATTATCTTACTGGTGGTTAGGAGGGAATAAGGGAATATAATCCCTATAGAACCTGTATATATACATATATATATAGATAGAAAAAAAGATATATAAATATAGATATATAAATATAGATATATAGATATACATACATAGATATTGCCTTATTCCCTGCTGACCCCCAGTAAGTTGTGGGACATTGCCCGCTGCCAGGCGCCTGCAAGTCCGGTCTCCCGAGTGCTAAGCAGCTCTGAGGAGACGAAGCTGAAGGCAACTTGCTTGCGGGGTTTATAGTCCCCCTAAGGTTTAGGGTTTAGGGTTATATTGGGATAATAGGAAAAGAAAATGGAGACGACTATAATGGGTTATATTTGGGGATTTGAGGGTATAGGTTAGGGTTATATTGGGATAATGGAAAATGGAACTACTATTTAGGGTTTAGGGTTTATAGTCCTCTTTAAGTAGAATGTAGGGTTTTTATAGGAGTTATATAGGGATAATGGAAGAGACCATGGAAACTATCATATTAGAATAGGGATTATATGGGGGCTATAGTCCCCCTTAAGTGGATAGAATATGGGGTATATGGGGATCTTATTATAACATACCCAAAGCCAAATTCTCGCCTTTTTTGGAACAATCTCCTGGGAGACTCAGGTCTGAGTATTAGGTCTCTACTGCCCTCCTGCCCGCTGGACTGGCACCGTCTAATTAACTTAGAGACTACGAGACATACTATGAACTTTCTGCTTGCAATGTCTTGTGGGTGCAGATCGTCGGGCGAGTGCCCCTGAGAGATGACGCTACATACCATGAACCTTCATGAGCTGAAACGTACAGATCGCGAAAAGCTCAAGCACCTTTCAGCAGAGTTTAGTCTGCAGCTCCTCGGGAAGATCCTCTGATCCTCAAACATCCCTACGTTAGGGTTCGAGCCTGTGCAAGGTCGAGAGACGCACGTCCCGGAAGTTTAGCTCAGAAGACCTGGCGTCAAAGGCAAGGTCTCGAAGAGCCATGAAATATGGGTTGGGATTAGGGTTGGGGCTACAGGGCTTCTGATCTCGTATTTAGGGATTAGGAGGATCTAGGCTTTGGTGTCTAATCGTACAGAAGGGAGGGTGTTGGGACCGTATCGTGGCAGGTTGAGGACGTGTGATGCTTGGCCAGTGGGTTGTTGTTTCGGAGCTTTGGACTGTGTAGTCGTCATTGCGACCTTTTGGGACGGTAGGGGCTTGGGGGGCCGTGACATGCTTTCCAGGTGTAGATGTGAATTTTGTTTGAGGACTTGCTATGCCATGAAGTTGGGTTTCCTTCGTTGCCAATTGGATTGTTGGGTGCATGTGACATGAAATGTTCCCGGTAGCGCACCCTTTCGAAGCCTCCTGCCGAGTAGCGCATGTTGACAGAAGACCAAGGTGGTCCTTCCTGATTGTTGCTCCTTACCCTCAATAGCATGCGTACGCCAGCTTTTTTTCAACACGCAAATTGTGCACATGCAAGCTGGGTAGCCCGTTCATGAGGCTTTCACACTAACACTGCAGACATCAAGCATCTCGCTGCAGGAGCTGGCAAGTCAAGATCTAGTTGTAGCAAGGCGCCGCACCCAGAGCTGTTTTTATGTCAGCGGACTTTCGCTCCAATCATGTGGCCGCTACCTCTGAGGGCTTTGTATCCGAAAGGTCTGAGGAGCAGGGGTGTATTTGCCAACACTGGCAGGGGTCTCACGTAGAGGAGTGCCAGGCAGACTTAAATGCAGGGCTTTGAGGTCCCAACCTCTGGGCGGACTGCAGCAGACTGTAGTGTTGGATAACAGACTTGCAAGTACTACGTATTTGCGAGCATGTAGAGGAATGCCAGTCGTAATCGTTATCATTGTGCTGTTCGCGTGTTCGTGGCTGTGCAACTGCCTCGCCCAGGAGCGTGAAGGAAGTTGAAGAGTGCCATGGTTTGCATAGAGCACCCTACAACCCCCCCCCCCCGGGCGCCCCAAAGAGGACGTCAAAGCACTGTTTGCCTCCTTCGGCAACATGCAATTTCTACAGCTGGTGTTGATTGGATGGCTGTTTGCTACTTCTTATTATCATGGCTGACTAGATGGCTTCTATTCATGCCACCACGACCAAGATGTTGTGCTTTCGATTTTTGCCATTACTATTAGAGTGTCAATTCATTGCCATTGTCCTCCTTGTCATTGAATAACTCCATAGATGAATTCTCCGAATTCTTTGCACTACTATTATTCATTATCTTCCTCATCCAGGCTTTGTTAAACTTTGTTATGCTGAGCACGGGCGCGAGGTCACTGTGTCAGCAGATTCGCGAGCTCCGAAAGTCTTTGGAGCATAGCATCGAGGCAGGGCACTTGCCCTCGCTTTTCTCAGGAAGGCCGCGAATGAGCCGTGGCTGTAATTAGATCTGAGAAGGCCCTATTGGTGAATACACCTTTGCAAAGTTGCAAGTCAACAGCGGATCGTCTAAACAAAAAGTCGCTATACGCTCGACGAATGTGCTTTGATGACCCGCAAGGCACCGGAGAGAGAGAGAGAGAGAGAGGCCCCTAACACTGAAATCAAGAAAGAGAGAGGGAGAGAATGAGAAGAAGAGAGAGAGGGGAGATAGACTGAGATAGATAGACAAGTCTGATACTTTGCTTTGCCGTCCTCAGCATGCGGAAGTGTTGTCTACCGCACGACTGCCTGCACCAAGAAGGAAAGGGGCGCTGAATCTGCCAAGTCCGATGGAGTAATGATCGTTGTCATGAAGCTGTCTCATGCGTATTGAAGGTCAAGGAGGCAGACTGCGGCTCAGATTCACGAGCCAGTTGAGAAGGGGGGAGACTCATTTTGGATGTTCGGATGGAAGTTCCTTGACTAGTCTTTCTGGGATGTGGATTGTGTGGTTGGTGAATTTTAAAGTGCACGCAGACAAGGTGTGATACCCCGGACCACCTGTGCGAGGGGTGCCCGAAGCCAGCAGAAGAATAAGGAAACAAATAAGAGAAACAGCGAGAGGGAGAGAGAGAGAGAGAGAGTACAGTCCAAAACAATGTACAGAATGCACAACAGGTCTAGCCGAGGTGGATGCTAGTGGCCCTGAGTTAGTCCATATTGTATTTGAGTTGGGGCATGTTGATATTGGTTGCCTGGGAGTGCAGTGCAAACCGTTTGGAAGCTGCGAACTGACCCTTACACGGCACACCAGCAGCGTGTGAAGTGTGAGGACATCACTAAGGTGCCTGGGAGTCCATTTGTCGTGGGTTTACAAGCAATTTGGTGAGGGTGCTGTAGTTGATGTTTAGGGAAGCAGTCGTACTGAAGTGAGTAGTCAGCGCAGCGGCACAGATGTCTTACAGCTTGCTGAGAAGGATGAGCCAATGAGCGAAGGCCAGTGTGGGGTATCTGTTCGGAGGAGTTATGCTTTAGCTCGGTAACTTAGGGGAGATGACCTAGCCTTTGTTCAGCAGTTCATCGGGCCTCGCAAGTACCCGACTGGATGCAGCCTCATCTTGGGTGCGGCGCTGCGCGCCGGGGAGACCGTAGGGTCTCCCTTCACCCGCAAAGAAAGAAAGAAAGAAAGAAAGAAGTGGAGATCAGGAATGTGGCAGCCAGTGACCATGATGCAGTCATGGTCCCCATCCTTACCGGAAGACCTGCGCGCACAGGGAAGGTTGACTCGGCGCATGGACCCAAGCAGCTCAAAGATGGGAGGGTTGTTCAGTCAATCCTACAAAACCTCCCTGCAACAGCAGACTGGGGCCATCAGATCAAGCAAGCAGCATGTGCCATAGTCGAGAACAGGAAAAATTACAGAGGGTACCGGGAAAGCTCGGCTCTCAAGCGGCTGCGCAGGCAAGCAATGCAAGCCACGCCGAGGGCTGAAGCAAGGGAGCTGTGGAAGCAGGTATGGAAGGTAAGGAGGCAGGAAAGGGATGGATGGCAGAAGGGGCTCCTTGAGGCAGCCCTTGCGGAGGACTGGCAAGCGCTCCGGGCGATCAAAACAGCGAGAAGAAGACACCAGTGGGAAGAGGCACTCACTACACAGCCAGACTGGGAGGAGACGATGCGAGAACACTTCCACAGTATCTTCGCCAAGCAAGCAGCAGAACAAGTAAAAGCCGAAATAGCCGCGGTTTGGGAGCATCTCACCACCCTCTGCAAAACCACCAGGTGGCGACCTTTCACCACAGAGGAACTGGCACAATGCACAACAGCATGGGCGGGGGGTAAGAGCACAGGTCCTGATGGGATCAGCTATGAGGCACTAAGGGTGATGGGAATGCATGACAGATAGATGGGAGCCACGGCTCCGAGAGGAGTTCAACGACGCCCTTTATAAAGGCAGATGCTCCCACCTCACCAAGAAGTCGGCGACCATTCTTCTTCCCAAAGAAGCGCAGCCAGCAGACTGGGGACAGACGAGACCCATCACCCTCAGCAGCAGCATGCTTAAGTGGCAAGCCCAATTGATCCTAGGAAGGGTAGGGGAACCGATCATGCGCCAAGCATGCTACCAATTTGCCAGACCAGGAAGGCAGGCGGCTGAGCTGATACTCCTGCTAAGGCGAGCAATAAGGGTAAGTAAGGAGTGGAATGTGCCGTTCCACATCCTTAAGGTGGACGTCTCTAAAGCCTTCGACACAGTGTCCCAGCCAGCACTGTCGGCGACCATCGGAGACAAGCTTGCCCCCCTAGGACTGGCGTGGGAAGCGCGACTCTGGGTAGACTTGGTAGAGAACCGTGAGTTGGAAGTGTACGCCCAGGGGCTGCCGAGACCCGTCCAGCAAACCAATGGCGCACGCCAAGGTTCTCCGGATAGTCCGGTAATCTTTGCCAGTGTCATTGGGGACGTGCTCAACGAGACCCTTGCTGAGGAAGGGGAACCCAATACCGGAGCAATGAGGAAAGGCTATACTATAGCCCGGACAAGGGACCGCCCTCCCGCACCATGGATCGGGATTCCAGGACGATGTCTACCTTGTGGGCGCTCCACCGACCGTACTTGCAACACCTCCTCGACCGTTTGGTGACCAACCAGGCTGGCCAAGAGGAACTTGGCCATACACCCCCGAAAAACCAAGTACGTGCACACCTCAGAACATGAGCACACCCTGCACGTGGCCGGCCAGGAAGTGAGGGGAGACAGAATGGGGACGATCGCGGTGTTGGGGGCGCCAAGTGGCATGCAACAAGAAGTACTGGCGTGCTTGGGTGAGATCTCCAGGAGGGCCAAAGCTGCCTTTGCGGTGCACAGGCGGATGCTAACGGGAGCAGGGAGCGCAAAACAGAAGATGATTGCCTACGGCAGATTCGTCAACCCCGCGGCCCTGTGGGCCGTGGGGGCCTGCCACCCTCACGAGGCCTTGCTGAAGGGGGCGAACAGCGTCCAGCTGATGCAGTTGCGCCAGGCGCTAGGGATACCCAGGCGACCACTTGAATCCTGGGTCGATTGGAACCAACGATCCCTGCGCTTCGCCCGACTTGTTCTGGCTCAGAAGCTAGAACTCCGCTGCAGCTCGGAGATGCTCAAGCTGATCTGGAGGCTCTACGGACATATGGCCCGCCATGAAGACGACAGCACGGCCTTGCTACGATGGAGAGACCATGCATGGTGGGAGGGACAACAGGCAGACCCCCAAGGAGCCAGGCATCCCAAAAGGTTCAACGCGATGCTTAACACAGAACGCCTTCTCAACCAAATTGCCCGCCCAGAACCGCGTGGAATGGAGTAGGCTCGAAGCGGCTTTTATCAGGAGATTCGATGTTCCCTGGGCCACCGGAAAACAAACATCCCTCGAGAACCTTGCCCCCAACTAAACGACCGAAGCCGGAAGCACAAAGGTACCCTGAAGGAGTGAGGCTGGAAGGCAACAGGGCGGAACGAATGACTGTCCGCAGGAAAGGGCCGACCGCTGCAACACAGCCAGAGCCGAAGGGAGGTTGTGCCCCGCGCAAGCAACCCACCCACACCAACTTTCACAAAACGCAACCCACCACACCCAACCAACCGGAACCCGTTAGGGGAGCATACAGAGGAGACAGAGAAGAGAGAGACCAGGGATGTGCGTGCAGGCGGCATGGTGCAATAGCCTACCACTACATGCAAACCATGACATGCAGTGATGCACACCGGTGATTGTCGACAGTCCATGATGTTGCTGAAAGTGACATGTGCGTCACAAGCAGACCAGCGCAGCCTTTGCCAGTGACAGACAGCACGGGGCCATGGAAAAAGCAGAGCCACAGCAACCCTGACATGTACACCGCAAGCAGGCCAGCGCTGTGTTGGCCGATGGCAGACAGCATGGAGACAAGGGAGTGGCAACGATGAAGCAGAGCGCGCAAAGCAAGGCACCCACATCCAGCATAAGCGTGACACGGGTTGGGGAGACATAAGCAGTGCAAGGCATTCCCTGGACATGTCCCATTTTGTGCTTGCTGTGTGGTAGGCAACTTTGTTGAGCCGGATAGGATCCCTCGCGTCAACCAAGGGTTGTGCAAGGGTGACACCTGACTCATGCGCAGCGGACGGAGCATGTGGCTGCGGGTGCTGGAAGCAGTGGACGAGGAGCACGGGAATGAACTGGCCCAGCAAGCGGCGAATGGGGTCGATGAGTTTGACCACAGGGAGATGACACTCACGCTCCTGGGAATGCACGCTGCCCTGCAGCTTGTGAGCCAGGGACTTCAGGAGATGGTCCTGGGCCGGGTAGAAACCCTGGAGCCCCGCGATGAAGGGAGACCGCGCCCGGAAAGTGATGAAGAAGAGGTCGAGGTCCCGATCAAGAAGCAGAGCACGCAGCCCTGTACCAGAAGACCATGACGGCGAGAACAAGAGGAGGCAAGGAATGGCAAAGCGATGAAGTGGCCATGATGCAGATGGGGGGCGGTGCCGCCTCAAGGGAGGACCCTTCGTGGAAGCCCCTCAGTCAGGTTGTCCGCGCTGACCTAGAGCACTTTCTACGACGCTAACTGGAGTTGCAACCTCACCCGCAACGCTGCTGCTCCTGGCACAACTGGGGGCGCGGCCGCCGGATGGATGCTCCAATGGAAGCGCGGATTCCTCCGACAACGAAGAGGTTAGCATCGGCGCCCTGCGGCCTGGTGAGACTGCTGTGGACGACACCCTCGCACCTGGTCCCGAACGTGCTCGGGGCGATACTGGCCCTTCCGGGCAAGCCCCACGAGGACCCTGGCCATGCCCAGCGCACAGCACGGAACTTGGAACAAAGCATATTGAGGAAGGAACAGTCAGAGATGGAGAAGGCCCTTTTTCAGAGCTGGCGTGACGAAAGCGATGTGGGGATCGTCCAGGAAGCCCTGAAACTACTGGCAAGTGTGGCGCACCAGTCGGCGCACAAGGAAGCGCTGCAGGCCATTACAGCAGCCAGAGCACTCAAACCCAGGAGGACAAGATCGCCGAGGCAGGTCACGCTCCATAAGGCGTGGGAAAGGGTGACCAACGAAGAAGCACCCAGCGGAGAGCCATGGCAGTCCAGCGACAACAGAGAGACTCAGACCGCGCGGGAACAGCTCCTGGGTCTTCAGCAGACGTGGGTGGAGCTTGAGAAGGGCACGAGAGCAGCAATGCTGGACGCGATCCTCGAGGCCGTGCCGGCGGAGACCCTCCAGAATGTGGCGGCAGCCATTGCCATGGCATACAATGACGTGGATAGTTTGGGCCCGCCGCCTAGCTTGCTGAGACTGCGCATCGCACTCAGGGAGAAGAACTGGGAGCACGCACAAGAGCAAGGGCAGGAAGCGCAGACCGACCAAGAGCACGACGGAGATTACATGACAGGGAGCCCCCGAAGCTCGGACGAAGACTCAGGCGGCAACTCTCGACGATACCGTCGCAAGTTGACGACAAGAAGCGGAGGCAGAGCCAGCGCCAACCAGGGGTGCGAGAGATGGGGGTGCAAACCAGCCCAAGACGGAGGCAAGGCAAGGTGCCCCACCGCAAGTTCAAGACGAGAACCCAGATGGAGAGAGAGCAGGGGGCGGAGGGGACAAGAGCAAGCCCAGAGGGCACCCCGCGCACCAGCCATGCCCAGCACCAGACTGGGGCGAGAAGACGAGTGGCAGCCGAAGAGGCCCAGGATGAAAGGATCCGAGCCGAGGATGACTGGAGACAATGGCTGCCTCAACAGCCGCGGCCAACACCGACAGCAAGCCAGGATCGCGAAAGGGACCCTCATGCTGTGGACACGCAGCCGTACTATGCGCCAGTCGCTGAAATGCAAAGCGCGCAAGGAGCAACCCAGCAAGAGCAACAAGCCGGAGCCCGGGGCCAGGACGCAGTGCAGGGCTACATGATTGTCAACCCCGATGGCACGCACAGAGAGCCGGACAGCTATGAACGTCAATGGCTGCAGGAATACACCGAGGCCCAAACGGAGGAGGACCGCATAGGCGATCTACTGGCAGACCTGGAGGAGGAAGCCATCGTGGAACAGGCCCGGCAAGAGTACGACGAAGAGCAGATGAAGAGCGAGATGGACAACAACGACGACAAGACCGCCAGCGACAGCAGCTGAGAGGGCTTCGTGAGTGAGGGCTGTGACTGAGGGGTGGGCATAGGGCTGAGACTTTGGGTTAAGGGTGCGCCTTCCTGTACGGTCATGTATGCTTTTGCCTATAAAGATCCGGGACCCACCCAGGTAGCCGGCATTTCAGAGCTTTTGTTCCAAGTGCTAGGGGCCTTTGAACAGTGAGGCCCAAGGAACTGACCGCAGCCGGTTCTGCTGGGGCCATTACTGCAGATGGTTCACATTTAGCCAGGGTGCACTCTTGGTTTGTGTTGGGGCTGGCCGGCTGCGAGAAAGAGCTTTAGTTCCATGAGCTCGGCGGCCCGCGGAGCGAGCGCCAAGGAACACCAGGATTCGGCATGCGCATGCATGGCACGCCTCCACTTTCTGGCCTAGGTTCTGTGTCCTAGCATGGCTGTTGTTTGCTCAAAAGGGGGGCTGTAGGTAGAAGCCTACTAGGCAGCCACTGAACCTAGTTTGCGCCAATGGGCGAATAAAAAAGAACAAAGAGCCTCGTAAGAAGAAAAGTACGGCAATCCCCTCCGGGGCTGGGGAGTAGAAGCTGTTTTCCCTACTGACCTTGAACAGTGGCTAGCCTGTGAGGTAGGGGGTAGACAGTTTTTGGTGCCATGCCTTGTCACATCAGGGAGGGCGGGCAGAAGGCCACCGCTATATTTATGGCACCTGAGCTTGTTGCAGCATAGCATAGCCGGTAAGAGTTGTGGGCTGTGGTTGAATCATGAGCCGTGGTCGCCGTCCCTTAGGCTGCGTTTGCCTGTGCTGTTGTTGCCAGCAGAGCATCGATAGCGATTCTTCACCGCTGTACCTAGAAGCGATGAGAGACATAGGGAGGCCGCAAGGGAGGATGCTTCTAGAAGCCTAGACAGGCAACCGGGGCTGTTTTTGACTGGTGAACTGTCTTCGTGGCCTCTCTATGTCTGCTAATCGGGTCCTGGGGCAGCTGATGTGCGCGAGACCGTGCTGCTTGGGGCCGGGCCCCAGCCCTCTCCATGTGGAGAGGGTAAAGCAGGGAGAAGAAGAAGAAGAAAGAAAGAAAGAAAGAGCGACCGAGAGCCAGCGAGCTGGATGCGGGCTTGGATGTCTGTCCGCAGAGCACCGAGAAGGTTTTGAGCTACGTTTCTCCTGGTTGCTGAGTCAAAATATGTTCTAGTCCTGTCCTTGTTTTTCACGCCCTCATCATCGCATCACGGCATTCCTTGCTGGGGCAAGGGACCCATCACTCACCACGGTTCCTAGAATACCCTAGACCCGAAACCCGAAACTGTGGACTGTGCCCATGGCACGCAGGTCGTCACTGGCACCACGGTGGCGCAGAAACAGAGCCTGGAGGCCTACCCGCAGTGCGTGTTAGTAGCGTCTCGTGTTAAAGCACTGTAGCCTCCCATTCAATCAATAAGACTAGACGCTCCTTTCAGCTACTGTTTTGTACGAGGAGATTTTGATTGTACATAGTTGGCTCAGCCATTTAAAGAATCACTACTGATATCGGGGACCGTTAGCATGTTTGCGGGGATCTTGGTAGCTGCAGGCTGGGTATTCGAAGGTCTTGACCTGGCAGGTGGAGCCTCTGACACAGCTCATGAAAGATACTGGTTGAAACGTGGCAAGCTGAAGGGCAAACAACGGGGAACACAAGAAGGGAAAGCTGCTGCTGGGGAAACGAAACGAAGGGAAACTGTGGGGTGCGCAGCTGCGAGAACAAGTGACAGTTTCAGGCAGCACTAGACTCATAGAACAGCACGGAATGCCTGCGGCAGTTGTGGAGCGAACAGCAAAGACCAATGCATTTGCATTCCATGAGCAGGGCAGGTTCTTTTTGCCTCCCAATGGATTCGGCTTCCCTGAATGCCTGCCAAAATGCCCCAAGCCTGTGATCTTGGAGGTTGCAAATGCAAAGCTGCGAGTGGTGCAGACCTTACTCACGGATTGACAGGGGGAACAGTGGCATAATTGTTACGTAGTTGGCGACAGACTTTCAAAGCAGCAGATGCAACACGCACAAGCAGGCAAACTTCACCCTACCAACCTTGGCATAATTTGGAGATGACTCTGCTAGTAAAGTATTACAATGGCCTACCAAGCTGAAGCGGGACTAAATCTTACTCACGGTGGCTGTGCTTTCCCATTCAAATCTATTGCAAAGATGCGGCCTATCAAAACGCTGGTGGGGCATACCTCCGGGGAGGCCGCCACTTAATTAAAGAGCAAACCAGACGTGCTTGAAGAGAGCCACCCTAGATGACCTAGATAACCCCACATCCGCAAAACACTTAAAGCTCGCTGGTCAAGCCGTTACTGAGGTGGAGCAGAGGACTATTCGGCACACCAGTGAGCTGAAGGCACCGGGGGTTTGCCAAGGTTTGGTGATGGCCTTGGGATTATGACTTAGCCAGGATACATGTGTGTTGTGGTTGTTCCCAGGTCTGGTGCCATCCTCTCAGCATTGAGAACCCCCAGAACAGGGTTTAGGTTGGTAAATCGGCAACCACGCAAAGCGGGAAACATCACCAACGCGATTCAAAAGGATTCTTTGTAGGTGGACTTCAGAATATCCACCTCGAAGGTAAGAAGCCCTCAGCCTAAGGCTGGTGCTTGCATTCAAGCAGCTCGGAGCCAGTATCGTTTTATCTACTCGTTAGGCTTCTGGAGCTGGGGATGCGCAGACTTCCTGCTAAGCTGCAGGGATCTTTGATGAGGCGATATGGTGTGAAACGATGACTGGATGCGATGAAGCCGGAATCATGCCCACCTTAGCTTGACTCTCCATGAACCCGGAAGCTGCCAAGCACAAACTCTATACCCAGGCAGCGATGAAGTCACTCGAGAAGCACGGACTTTTGGAGGCGCACTGCGTGGCGAATTAGTGGCGCCCCGCAAGTCTAAGTGGTCCAGTCGGTTGTGGAGTTGAGATCGCTAGTTCGTGCACAATCCAGATCGTAGCAAGATTGCTGGAACTTGTACAAGGGAGGGTAGCGTGAGTGGTTTATTAAAACTTAGCAAGCCCAGACTGCAAAATTAGAACGCACTAGGGTCATGCACAGGAATGGCGAACAACAGACTACAAGTCAATCGATCACCTACAAAACCCCGGTAGAGCGGTTCAGCCCCGAGCAGGTTCCCACATCAGCACCCAGCTCAACTGCACGGCGAAAGTAAGTAGATGCTTGATGTTGATGGGATATCAGATGACATTGTTTGTTTCTAGCACGTTAGTTTTACACGTCTAGCTGACATATTGCAACATTGTTGAAGAAGGCCCCCCACTTGTGCCCATCAGTTGTGTTGGTAAATCCTTGTGGAATCCCTTGCAGCAGAGCCAGGTGCTTAAATAGCACCAGTTCTCAAGACATGCATAATTCTTGTGGCAGGATGGGGTCGCGCCTGTTCAGAAGGAGCTGGCAGATATGGTGACATGGCGGCAAGGCGGAGTGTTCTGGAGAGGTGACTATGCTCTCCTCATCTTTGGGTTTATACTCGCTGAGTGCAAGGTGTACAGGGACTGGGGCATCGGTGGGGATCAGGGTAGCGATTGTGGGGTATTCGGGGAATAGGATTGTAGAGTGACGGCATGCCAGCAGTGGCTAAGTGACGGAAACCATCGCGATATAGATGGTCTTCTTGTGAGTTGCCTTGTTCAAGTGTCCGATGATTTTGAGATCCCAAGTGATAAATTCTACAAGTACCAGGTTTACAATTCACGTAACGTAATAGGTGTTGGAGCACAAGGCAAGCTTCAGCAGGTATCAAAGGAGTTGAACTTAAGTCGTTCTCAGACCATCTAAGTGCAGTGCTTGGCATTTCCTAGCGGCACAGTCGCCGGTCGACCTCTCTCTCTCTGTTCTGAAAGGAAGGCTTGATGTTTTGAAAGACCTGCGCGTCCCATAGCAAGCTCAGAGTAGAGGGTTCATCGTGACGGTGTATGTGCATACTTGCTGGGTGGGGTGGTAAGAGACTGGGGTTCGACATGAGGACACGCGAGCCAAGTCCACGCGGGAAAACATGGATCGCCTCCACAGCCACGTCCATGCATCTGTGGCTGCTGGGCTTTTTGTGAATGTTCAAACATTAGTGGATGCAGCTGGTCTTAAGGTTTCCTCAATGGCCCTTGTTGCTGTTGCCTAATGTTGTTTTCAGGTGAGGATTGCAAGTTATCAATTGCACGAACATCTTGGGTAGAACAGACCATGCATGTGACTGCTTGAAGTCCTGACCGTTTCGCGGCGAGGCGATACTATAAGCGCCTGTCGAATCTAAACGGCTTTGTACATAGTTACATAGCCTTGGCGACATGTGTGGTGAGGCCGTCAGCAGGTACAGAGTTCCATTGGCCTATCCGACCTTTGCTGCTCTGAGAGTACCTTTGGATCTAGGATTGTCATGGTTTTCTTCAGGCCCGCCTAGATGACGAGCTCCGGCGTTTGGACCAGAGCCTGTCTGGAGATGTCATGCGGATGGAGCCACCTGGATCATACTTGGAAGCAATGTTGGGTTTAGGGTTTAGGGTTTGGAGGTCTTTGGCTTGCCCCCGGCTGGATGCTGACATGGCGCCTCGTAGGCTACTCATGGTCCATGGTAAGCTGCATTTCATGTCATGATTTTGTGCAATTTTGCAAGTTAGCTTTGATGTACAAGGCTTTTCGTTAACTGGGAATGAAGGAGTGGAAAATGGAAACTACTATAATGGGTTATAGAGGGACTACTGTAAGGATCCATTCCTTCATTCCTAGCTAACCAAAGGCCAGATCATTGTGTGGCTGAATGCCCTGGCTTTTTGGCGTGCGCTTGGGGTAAATTCTAGGCAGACCTTTTTTGAGATGAACGTCAGACATATTTGCTGTGGTGCCCTCAGCTTGCCAGGCGCCTTGGAATATCTAACGCGCACCAACATCCCAGTACCAAGTGGCTCATGCGGGGGACTACATAGATTGCTCTTGGCTACGTGCAGGGGTGCAGCAGCAAAAGGTATGAACCTGAAAAGTCATTGTAAGCTAACGCTGAGTGCTGTGAGCTCACCTGGATGCAAGGCTGTCTACGCTGGCCAGCCACGTCCAGGAACTACGCCGAACCTAGGTCAGAACTGGCTCGGTCTCAAAAAGGCATTTGGGAAATATTATAGATCTTTCCGGGGGGGATCGTTGTGACAGGGGCGGTGGGGAAAAATGTGTCTCAATTCTAGCTTCCCTGGATATCATTGTCTCCAGGGCATGTCTCACTGCTCCCCGGGACATATTTACAGATTGCTTTCAGAGGTTCTCAAGCGACGCGGAAAATTTGGAAACCTCATCCTTCAGGTTACGTCTGTACTGGAGTGCATGTGGAGTGGGCAGCAGTGTTCCATCAAGTAATGGAGTGTAAAAATGCGTTTCACAAAGTCCGAAATAAAGGGATCCTGTGTTGCGCAGATTCCTTGAAGATGTTTTCCCGACCATCTGTGCAAAATGCAGTCGGGTCTGTGTAGGGGACATTTGCCAAATTTTGTGTTTGCGACATTTGCCAAATTCAAGGCCATTTCGGCTGTGCAATCTTTCTGCTGTTTGCCTTGCGATTTCCGACTTCAAGATTTTGCACAGATTCAAGTATGGAATCGACTTTCTAGCTTTATACTGGCAGCGAGATGTTGACAAGTTTTGCAATGATCTGCTGCAGTTGGCAGCAAAACGAAAATCAGTCAGAGTTGTCTGAGATGTTAGGAGTGGCCTAGTGCTGATATCACAGAATGTCGCGCTGTCTGCAGTCTGCTGTGGCGTACCGTGACACGTCCTCCACATGCTTTTGCCGTGTGGCAGCTCTACTTCGAGCCAAGGAGACCACAGCAACTTCGCGCTTTGGGCACGGCCGGTAATGGAAGAGCTCCTTCCTATGCCTTCGCAGGCATGGGGGAATCAGCGTGCAAGCAATTGCCCACGTTGAGCTCTAGAAGAGCCCACAGGTGGTTACTGTGAAGTTGTCTTATGTGCGTTGCGACATGCGTCAGGAAGGACTCAGGCGCAAGAAAGCGAGCTGGGAACAGGGTGTAGAGAAAGTTAAAGTGGCAAGCCCTTATGATGCGTAGGCAAAGCTGAAGGGAGCCCTTGCTTGCTTGAAGGTCCGGAACGTCGGCGAGGAACTCGTGGTGCTGGGGACCGTCCGTGATTTCCCATTTGGGTTTTCTAGGATTCGCGTTGAGTTCCTGGGTAGAGCGGGTATTGTTCTGGCCACTTTCGGGTTTGCTTTTTAAGTGTGGGTTCCCACACCATTTGAACCGTGAGCGCCCCGTGTGATTCACTAGCGCAGGAACCGACAGGCCCGCTGTGAGGACGACGTAAACAAGATCACCCGCTTGGGAAGGATTCTGGATGACAAGGCCGGTTTTGCTCTGGCTGGTCTACGGGGGTTGGGTTTAGGGCTTGCGAGTATAGGTAATATACGGTCAGGCTGCGTTTGAATTTGAGCACGCCCACTCTGTCAAGAATTCTAAACCTGTCTACTGCCTGAAATCAGCAGCCTTGTGTGTAGTATGATGCACAAGAAGTCTGCTGCAATTGTCAGGATAGTATGAATGAACACAGAGAAGTCCTAACGGGAACACTATCATTGCTGCTCATGTCTCAAACTGCTGTGCTCGTCCTTCGTCTTGAAAATGTTAGCCTCCAGCTTGTTTGGTGAGATTTCTTCTTTTTGAGTATTTGAGGCCTGCACTTCATGCAATCCAGCTTCCTCAGGTTAATTACCCGTTAGGCTGAGTCTGTTAAGCGCACCCATTCATCCCGCATAAGACCCCATTGAGCAAAACAAGGGAGCATTTGTCAAAAAAACTATATTAATCTAAAAAACTTATATTAATCTACATACATAGCTTCTGAATATTATATATATATGTGTTCCTATGCCTAGAGTCCATAAGACCCTTTTGGGAACTCCAATTGAGAGTTTCTTGAGGCCTGAAGCAGGGGTGGGCTGACCTGGCTGGGAGCAGGTAGAAGTCTTCGACGACCTGCAGCGGCGTATGGAGGAGCTGAATGCAAATGCACAGCTGCAGCCTCAGATGCGCAGCCGCAAGAGTTTACAGATCTAAACAGAACTTTGCAGATTTTGTAGTAGATGTCGGGCAAATATCTCAGTGTCTTGAATACCTAGTTTGAGAATTCCGGAGCAGGAGTCACGTAGGGGAGCAAGGCTCGACTTAACTTAGGAAGGCTGAGCTAAGCAAGGCAGGGTTCTCAGGCTCGCCCAGGCCAGGCTTGCGCCCTTCAAATTCAACTTTGCGTATTCTTGACAACCATGAGTTGTGACCACATACTGTTTCGAGTTATTTTCGATCTCCGGAACATTCCCTGAGCTTCGATCAAAGCAGACCCTTGCCAATAGGCGGTGGAGTTTCTACCCTGCACCCTTCCACCCAAGACTTGCATCACAAACCCTGCAGCAACCTCCTGTCAATCCTGAATTCCAAAACTGGAGACACCCATTCCAAGTCCATGAACCTGAAATCGCAAGACCCTGAACGCTTAGGCCTGACGAACTTAAGGCTGAAACATTCTTTTCCTTCGCATCCTGATACTGATCATGATCCACCAAGCCCTGAAGCCAGAACTTTCAAGCCGTAAACCTGAATCTCAAATCCGACAAATCCTAACTATTGGCCATGAAGCTTGAAATCTCCAACCAGGCGCGTCCTGGGATCGCAGTTTGCCGCATCCGTCCGGTGCCTTGGCTGCCGCGAGCCCATCGTGGCGGAGGAGGACATTGGTACCAGATCAGGGGATTCGTAGCTCAGTGGGGTTATGTGAGATTCATAGACGATCGATGGAGAGTGGAGGGTCCTGGGAGGTGAGAGTTGGGCGTCAGTTAGAGGCACGGTGTCTTTGCTAACGCAGCTTGGACACGTGCACGAGCATGAACTCTGTCTGCGAGGTCGCAGGCAGGGTTGCCTTGATGTAAATACCTCTTGCAAGTGCTGAAGCGTGAGCCATCTGGCCTCGTTGAGCTGTCGCCCTGTGTTAGGGTACACCTCATCATGTTGGGCATCTTACTGTTGCGGTGGTTTGGGTGGCGAAGATTGAGGCCAGCAAGGCATAGAGCATGTTCTCACCATGGCACAAGCGAGAAACCTTGTGCTCAACCTGAACCGAGATTAGCACTTTAGGCTTCTGAAGCTCAGTCCGGCACTCACAGAAGCGAGCGAGTAAGATGGCGCTCGCTTCTAGCGCAGGTTCCTGCAAACAGAGCTCGCAATGCAGGACACCTGGGCCTCACGCAATCGCACGCCCTCGCCGCCAAGGCGCCACACACCATGCGTTGCCTTCCAGGTAATGAATAAACAAATAGAACTGTGTTGGGGTACCCTCCCCCCCTTACACTAGGGCCCCCAGAATAGCAACTAAGGACCCTCAATAAGGGCCCTCAGCCTCCTACGGTTCTGAGGTCCCTGTGGATTGATGTGAAAGGGAGAGTTCTGAATCTTTCGTGTAATTTTAGGGTCCCAAAATCAATACACATTATACGGGGCGTCACAATCATTACCCCTGATCCTGAATAGCCGGGCCCCAAAGCACTTTACAGGGACCTCAAGGCCAAAGCGGATCCAACACTTACGGGAAAGATTCCCCAATCAAGGACATGCATGTTTCTCTTGAAGGATTGTGCGTCAGCTCCTGCAAAGTAAAGGTGGTGGGAATCTTGTGTGGCGGCGGGCTTGTGTTGACCTCCGGCCTTCGAGAAGTTTTAGGGCCACTGAAAGCACACAGGGTGGCTTTCAGTGCACCATTTTTGGTACAAGTACCTGGTGCTCCGTGGATCACGGCAGTCATCATCGCAATCTTAGGAACAGCAAGTGATCTTACCATGCCATGCCCAAGCCAGAATCACGTTCATCCCCGAGAGCATGCAGTTGCCTGCACATCCATATGACAACAATCATGTTGGAGCGCATGCCCAAAACATGTTTATACTTGTATCTAAGAGAGCATTCGGTTACCCGTGCATATATGCTCAAACCATCAGTAATAACGTTGGTGTTCCAGTGCCCTCGATCACCAGAGCATGCATTCCCCGTTGTAATGCCTCCTATGAGCAGATAGAGCGCCAAAACAGCCATAGATATTTGGGCTTGCAGTTATGGTTCAACAAGTTGAGAAGCTTGGGGGGATGGGTTCCCGGCCTGGCCTGAGGGATCTTACAGTAGGCGTTGCCACCGTGACACACACGACCTGATACCCCATGCTTCAGATCTCCGAACATATATTTCCACTTTAGTTTAGCTTCAGTCATGAAGCAAATGCCCTTTTAGTGCACAGTAATGCTCCCGTGGGGTTTCAGCTAAAGGGTCAGAAGCGAAATGAGAGCAGCGTAGAGATCTTGGTCGCTGACAGAACTCTCAGCCTTTGGCAGGAGCTGCATCGTGAATCCGCAGTTTGATCCACCGACGCCAAAGACAACGCCCCGGCGCAGGCAGTAGAAAATCCTGGGCAGTGCTGGGTTGTTGTGAATATTGTTGTTGTTATTACCTTCATTCTCATTACTGCTGTTATTTTAGTATTATGATAGTAGCCTCATAGTGCCCAGTGGCCCAGGATTCCCCTCGCTCAGTGGGGCTCTTGCAAGAGGCAGATCAAACCCCAGACCTGCACTTGCTTCACTTGATGTATGGATCCTAACAGATAAGCCTCTGAGATCACCAGCATAACCCCACAAACCACGTTTGAAGCTGCAGAGGCCGCAGAGCGCCGGCGCCCGCCTGGGGGAGAGCGGAGGCGGAGCCTTGGGAGTTCAAGGTGTTGAGGCGCTTTATGTTGTGAGGTTCATGGGTTAGATGCAGGTGAGCTGGAAGCAGGACAGCTATAGCTACCACCTTGACCAGATTATGTGCAAGCCTGCGAATCACTGTCCTTCACCCTTGTCCAAGTCGTGGAGTCTCAGGAACGTGGTCTCGTGTTTCCGAGAGCGTAATCACAGGCAATATGGGCGGGAATGGGAGTGATGAGTCCTGACTCATGTTAAGATTTTACCCGCCCAAATCCATGGCCCTTGAGACAGAACCAGAGGTGTTGCAGCATGTTTCAATTCTGTGCCAACCCGCTCTTGGCTTAAGATTTGTAATGGCCGACAAGATAGCCAGATTGTTTCTCTTCAGAAGTTTTGACGAGGTTGCAAATAGTGCGGGATATTGGGTTCCTTTAAGTGGCTTATGCGTGGCACGTTGATCAGTCGGAAGCATGAAGTCCCTGACTATTAAACAGACCTGCAAGCTTCTCTTTCAGGAGCAGAGGAACGAGGCAAGCCTGCCACGGGCCAGGACAGCTCATTATCATTTGGGCGTTTGAGGCTTGAGGCTTTTGGACTGTTGTGTGTGTTGTTGCCAGGCGGCAAAACGCGGAACCGTTGTGTCGTGGTCTTTAGGAAGAGCTTTGGGAGACAGAAGATACCTCGCAAGCATCATACCCCCATTGTGGCAAGATGCGGCTTACATCTGCTGAAGCTTGGCGACCCAAGCCGGAAAAATGAGGAGAAGGTGGTGCTCACAGTCCCTCGTGTGCGGAACGACTTCTATTCCTACGCAGCTCGTATAGAACTGGTGCTTGCATATCTTTGTCAAAGCTCAGCCAGACTTGAATTCGACCGCATCCTCACTCATTTTCAGAGATGCTGCGCCTGCATGCGCTTTCCGTCGCTAAGCAAGAGTTAGAAGTTAGAAACAAGTTGGCGTGCCGAAAAGGCAAACTGCTAACTAGCCCAAAGACGCAGTTGAGCGGAACATGGATGATTTGGTCGACATTCGGAGTGGCCGTCTCATTATTATTCATCTAATTTGGAAGAGGGAAACGGAATCAAAATGCATTTAAGGCAAAGACGGTCGGCAAAGCTGACCCCGGAGGCGCCCAGAGAAGCAGAAGCGCTGAACTAGAGATACGTGTTTGGGGTTAAGGGTGCGAGGTTGGCGGTTTTGAATTCAATTCCGATTCGCGGGTTACGGGTTGGGGATACAAGACTATACAGGCCGTGAAGAATCGGGTTTCAAGGTTTGATCAGGGATGGCAAACGAAGCATGATTGTTACCTAGGGACACCCACAGAGTCCAGTCACCACGAAACTCTTCTTGGCATCCTCGAACCCAAGCTGTTGCACGCGGCCCTTTAGTTTTGACAATTGCCTGTTACTCGGGTAGGTAGACAAAGAAGGCTTGTTGGTCTAGACCCTGCAGCTGGCTGCATTGGTCTTGCGATCTTAGAATGGCAGGAAGGATGACGACCTTCGGGGCCAACCTGCCCTCAGCCCTGAAGAATCTAATCCACTGTGGCTAGAGTTGTGAGGTGCATGGAATGTGAGAGTCCCTTGCCCCTAGTCGGCCATCGGTCAAGACATGGCAGAAAGAGGTTTGAACATGCCAAGATTTCCTTTCTGAGGTTGCGTTTTGAACACGGTTTGTTTTCGGGTTCAGAACTTATGAGGACCGTTTCGCCAAGGGAGGCAAACAGCCCGCACAAAATAGTTCAAGACAGCTGTGCGCATGGGTCTCGATTTGAATTCTTCGCACGGGTGCCTCTTCAAGAATACTGCGCAATTGCTGAACTCCCATTCTCTTAGATGAAGGTGCGGATGGATACTGGATACCTGAACAGGAAAGATGCCCCGGTGCAAGCCCTGAGCCTCTCACATTCCAGAAGCTTGCGCTGCGTGTCGCATCAAACGTCCTCTTCCAGTAACGCTGTGACTCTAATCTCAAATATGTACGCAGCGGAAACTTACCCCAAGGCCCGAATTTAGAGACTGAGGCCCGAGCTTACACCCGGCACCATATATATATATATATGCATATGTATGTATGTATGTATGTATGCATGACCTTAAAACGAAAATCTGCTCAGCCCACGCGCTGGAGGCATGTGGCACCACATCAGGCGGTCCGTGCAATTCCCTCCAGAACTATCCAAAGCTAGTCGAGTTTCTTAAACGTTCCGACTTAAACCCTCCGCGCGGCCCTAAACATGCTTGCTTGGAGTGATGCAGCACGAGCCGCGCGGCCCTTCCCTAAGTAACGGTGGGCTCCACTCCACTCCAAATTTGAGGTATGCGGGGTTCACACCTGCGACCAGTTACAAACCAACTGCTCTTGAGAGACCTATCCCCTGTTTTACTGGATGGATCCTCAGGCTGTGCTCTAAAGTGGATCACCCGGAGTCATTGGCTTCAGGATTTACTGGTGCCGTGCGTGGCGTCTCCATAGCCGCTCTTGCTGCCGCCTGCTTGCAGATACGAGACTTTTATTCCTCACCCTCGCAGTGGGGTTGTTAGATTTTTAAAGTAGATGTTGTCCTCGCCCGANNGGAAGCTGACTTTAGTGACCAACCACCAAATATCTCTGCAGTGCCCAACCGCAAAGTATCCCTGCATTGCCCAACCACCAAGTATCCCTGCAGTGCCCAACCACCAAGTATCCCTGCAGTGTCCAACCAATGAGTATCCCTGCAATGCTTAACGGATGTGCCCGACCGCAAAGTATCCCTGCAGTGCTCAACCACCAAGTATCCCTGCAGTGTCCAACCACCATGTATCCCTGCAGTGCCCAACCGCAGAGTCTCCCTGCAGTGCCCAACCGCA